TATACGGTGATGAAACGACTTAATGACGTGGTATACCGCATACAAAGAAATGGAAAACCACGATGTAAAATGAAAGTAGTACATTTGGAGAGGCTCGCCCCATTTGGTTCAAGAGGATTTCTGCCTAATCCGGACGATTGGAGGGCAGTGTTACAAAAGTAGTATTAAGTTTGGTACCACTTGTATTTGTATTGCTATATGCATCCCTTATTATAAACATTGGGCGCCGCGGTTGACTGTTTGTTTATTTATAACATGAACAATAGCTGCATGTATATGGAATGTATGGCATCATTATATGTGTTTGGCTTGCTATGTATATGCATTCCTTATTATAAACATTGGGCGCCGCGGTTGTCTAATTGTCTACTTGTAGTATAAACATTAACTGTATATGGAACGTAAAGCATTATGTCCTTATAATTGCCAGACGCAATGGTCTAGAGATACACGTCGGCATCAGCGAGGAGTGCGTGGCTATATAAGCCGTGGTAGCGCCAACGTAAAGAAGGAGTGCTAAGAGTAAACTGCTATAGTGTAGACGAATTCTGAAATAAAGAGATTTTGTTAAAGTGAATTAACGGTTTTTGGTTTTATTTGTCAATCCGGAGATACGAACCTAGTAAAGTAAACTAGTAAGGAGTAAATTTCCAACATTACCATAATAATTCATTCTTATAGCTGTATATGTGCGAAATGATGTCATAAGTTACATAAAGGTCTGTTTTGAGCTCTCAAGTAAATGCTCAAGAAAAAATACTCCTTATTTCTTTAGCTGTATTCAAGTAATTTTGACAGCACGTAACGCATTAGCGGAATTCTCTTGCTCTTGCAATATCGCAATGCAAGGCCAAGAAAGCGCCCATTGCAGAATCTAGTGATATAAGAACGGCTAAGTCGGTCAATTTATTGAGAATGACTATTGTACATAACTATTGTGAATTAGCGTACCTTCTGCATCAAAAAACTATAACAAATCTTTATAATTTAAGTACAAATTATAAAATCGATTTAATACTTACCTTCCTCAACCGTTTAACGGTGAAATATGTCTTTATGTAAAATGTCATCTAAAACAGGGTTGCAATTATATTTTTACGTGTTACGAAAATAAACGTCGGTTTTGGCCTGACATATTTTGCAGCGATAAGAGTAGTTTCCAGCTCTCAAGAAATCTAAACACTTCATGTAAAAAAAACTCTTAAGATGTGGGCAAGAAAGTTTCTTGTGGTAAATTTTATTTTGCTAGTATGCAGATCTGAAGAAATGTAGTACTAATTTTTAATAAAATATTCCAATAAAATGCGAATATGGAATCGCAGGCTTTGCGTAGAAACGTGAAATAAACAATTGTTTCTTGAAGGAAATACAAAGTAATCGTTAATTTGATCCTAAATTAGATAAAATCATTATTATGAAGTATCAGTTCATTTTGAAATTTTGTATAAAATTTACCAATCGGCATCCACATTCCTCAAACCGCAATAAAAACACATAAGTCTGTTATTACACGCGTCAACTCTTGCTGTTAATTCTCGGGCGGTTCTCTTTTGCTGTCGCCCATTACGTTCACACGAGCAATTTGTGTTGCGCAACTCTGTTCGAGTTTTTTTCTCATTCTCTTTCTTCTCTTGTTATTTGGATAATGAAGCCTGATGTGCAGAACACAATGCTCCTGACAGATTGCAGCAGCACGACAGTGAACTGAAAATGGCGTTGTAAATCCTACTACATGAACGTTTGTGAGAGGGCGGCAGCAACATAACAATGGCCGGATTGTACACAAAACAACGCAGTTGCCCATTTTGCATGTACACAATTTCGTTGTGGCCAAGGTATTAGCACTTCAATGAAATTTTAATATTTTGTTCAAAGTGAAATTTTTTAACAAAAAAAAAAATGTAAATAGATAAATTTATTTGTTTTAAATTATCAATTGTTATTAAAAATGATGTAACAGAGCTATTTTATGCTTTTATTTGTAAAATAACGTCAGGTTTGTTAGAGCTTTGAGTAATTTTACATTTTACATATTAGTGGCACCACCACTCTTCCTCATCTCTCTACTGTCGTCCTACCGAAGTTAGCAATAACGACAACCGTCGGCTTGCAGTCATGTACTCGTGCACCTGTCAAAATAGGTCTGTCCTTAAGAACGTGTGTATTTTAATATTTGACAAATGTCGTTTGCAGTCTGTCAGTGAGTTGAATAAATTAATTTTTAAATTTTCTGTTTATTAATATTCGGTTATTGAAAAATTAATATATTTGGTAGAAGCACAGGTTTATTTATAGTATAAAGTCACCGCTATATTATTATTAACTAAAATTATGAAATTATGTAATTATTTATTACAAGAAAATAAATTATTTATACCTTCAAATATAACGCCTTCAGTCTTTTGTGAATAGCGTCAAAAACTTCGGTAATTATTCCACTAATTGTTGGCTGCGAAATTTTTGACCCAAAATTTAAGCTTTGAAATAATTCTCTTATAAAATATAAAAAAATATTAAGTTTTCTAAATTTTTAGTTTACGAAAAAGTTGAATTTTAAACTTACCCGTTGCGAGAAAACGGAGGGTCAGTGACAGCTTTGCAGAAACTGCAGCTCGCATCACAGTATCTTGCTTCATTGTGCCGTCCTGTATTGCAGATAATATGCAATTATACTGCGTCCATTTACATCAATATACAGTAGTTATTTCATTAAAAATGAATGTGAACCAGTTTGCGCCTTGCTTGTTCTCTATACTTTAACCCATTGTCGTTTCTTTTTCCTGATAGGTATTTGGGCCACAATTGGGTAGAAATACATTTTATTTATAATTCAAAATTAAAACAAAGACTACATAACAGACCTTCACATATATCACCCTTTTCACTATCGTCTGAATCAATTTGTATGGCATCCTCCATACATTGCACAATATCTTTAATTAATTCGATTTTTTCGTCCTACTCTATTTTCTGAAATATTTATGTTATATTATGTATATTTGTATAAATATTTGCAAATTACTAACCAAAAGATGAAATTAAATCTTTTAAATATATTTACAATATTAATTTAAAAAATTTACGCAAATGCCACTATGTACTACGAAACTAAGAACACGAATGCCGAAAAACGGCGCAGCGAACTGTTACGAATAAGAACACAAAGCGAGTTGCTTTGTGGGTTAAAGTAAAGAATGTACAATGGGTTAAAGTAAAGTGAAAGAGAATGAGAAAAAACTCGAACAGAGTTGGCAACACAAATTGCTCGTGTGAATGTGATGGGCGACAGCAAAAGAGAATCGCCCGAGTATTAGCAACAAAAGTTGACGTGTGTAATAACGGACTAACAGACTAAGTATCTCTCTTTTTTATTTTCTCTTGCTCTTCTAATGCGCATCATTCGCAATGGTTAACCAGCTATCAAAATTACTTGACTACAGCATGGATAATATGATACGAGACTCCTTAAATCGAGAGAGAGCTGTCAAAACTCGCATTTTTTTTAACATTTGCCAATGATGCTACTGCTGAAAAATATTAGATTGGGTATTTAATAAATTACACAAAACACTAAAACGCTTTGAAAATGCATACATATATACATGCTAAAATGCAAAATCATTAATTAATTTACATAATCATTTATTTTGCAAAAGTATGTTCGCACAGTTCAATGAAATTTCATTTTACACTAATTTCGTCAGGTAATTATAGCGGTTTACCAGAGAACGTATATTTATAGAGAAGGTTCACGATGTCAAAAATTTAGGGATATTTACTGTTTTGGATGAGTGCGTTTCACCAGAGAAAATTATTAGCGCGTTTCACCGCTTAATATCAGTGGCACGATAATAACAGAACTGAGTAGTTGTTAGAGCCAATGGGAAAAAATATGTTAATTTCAATGTTTAGAAGTGTATGCTTACATATTCGTATATTTACTATGCGCAAACGACTGCATATCATTTATATACATACATACATATGTATATTTAATATCAAAGCACACAAGCATCTATGTACAAATTGAACTATTTCATGATGAATTCCTTAACATCTTTGGAAATATATAATAAAGTCATACATGCATTATTACTTATGTAAATCTTTAATTAATGTAATTTTGATAAGATATATACATGCATATTTATTTACAGGTCTTCAAAAGTTTTGATAACATGTTGAAAGACCAAGCGGTCGCACATATTCACGTATGTAATTATGTGTGCATGTAAATTAAAAGAACCATACGCATAATGTTTGTAAATTTGTCTACCCACAACTTCGTATGTAAATGTGTACATTCCCTGCCGGCAACTCAGCTAACTTTTAATGCACTTTAATCTAACTATTTCGAAACTAGAGGCGGTTGATACTTGGACTATTTTTCATGGAGCCAACTGACTATTTTATTGCGATGTCCTAGGCAGTAATCAATTATCCGACTCTGCATGACTTTTCAACTAACTTAAAGTTAGCTACTTGTAGTTGGCTATATATTAGCTATTGGTTATTTATTTAAACGACGGGCGCGCTGTTGTTAACTCGGCTCTAATCGCGTAAGCGGTGTCTACGCCAATCAAGAAGAAGAAGAAGGCTATTTATTTAAGTTAACTACAAGTTGGTTAATTAGCAGTTAATTAAAAATTTGTTATTTAGTAGTAAGCTATCAGTTGATTTTTTTTAAATTAGCTACAAATCAATTACACAAGTTAAAATAAAAAAGGCCGATAAATAAAGTATTAATTTTCTGTTTTATTCTTCTTATGTTTAATACATTTTACATGGAAATGCCGTTTTTTAATGATTTTTAAGGCATTCCTTATCTCCTTTTCATTGTCTTCAAAACCAAGCGAACTACAAACATCTGTGTAAAATATTTAAAATATATTTGAGCTATGTTATTCGAAATATCTATACATACATATATGCTTTCAATATATGGGTTACCCATTAAAGTTTGGTAAAAAGTAAAAATCTTTCAAACGCTTCTTGCCGTGGACTCCATCCAAGTTGACTTCTATGCACACACTTTGGGAAATAACATATATCAATGTTTTCGCCATTCGTCCTTTTAACAAAGCCTTCATCCTGTTAACCTGTTAAGTATGTTATAAAAACTAACTTTTAGTATAGTAATGCATTTTAGCAAGGTATTAAACTCATGGAACACAATTTTTAAGACTTACATATGTAGAGGTCACGATTGTCCTCGCTAATAATAGTGTTGAAGTCATGTAAGTCGTTGACACTTTTTATGGGGAAAACTGCATGTACATTATTGCTGGTTACCTCTTGGTGAAGAACCCTTTCCGTTAACACTTTCTGCTCAGCCAAGGACTTCATAATTATGTCATTTTGGTTGACAATAGTTTCTGCATTGCATTTGGTAATGAAAAATATATATATTATTTAATATAAACAATAATCTGTTTTAAAAGGATTAAATACCTTGAAGCTTTTGTATAGTATCTGAAAATGATTTTTTTTTACATTTAAATTAGTTTAAGTTTCGCTAATTTTTTGCAATTCGAATTTCTTACTGTTCATCTCCTTAAATTGTTGCTCAATATTTTCCTTGAGGCTGCAACAACCTGAGCAGCAGCTTGTTTCGTCGCTATCTGTAAACCCATTTCTATGAAGCCAAGTTATATACATTTTTATTGTAGTTAATACTTACACTGAGGCATTGGTTGAATACTGAATGTGGAACGTTTAATATTTGGTATGGACATCTAAAATTTTTATACTTTTTTTTATTAACTACATATAATATTGTAAGTTGGTTCGTTTCGCATGGAAAGTACTAGATGACCGCTTTAAATTTTAATTACTTGCAACTATGCAATAGTGGCACTAAAACCACTTGGAAATCCAGCAAACTTTAACTCAACATCGTCTATAGCAAATCTCTCTTCCTCCCCCATGTTATTCTGATCAACTAGACAAGTACCTAAAATTTTAGCTGARTTAAATGGTTCCTGAAAAAAACTCTCGATACTTCTKAATCGGCGCCCTAATATTGATTCTGATCCAAGTGTTGAGAAGCCTGTGATATGTATCGGTATAAACGGTCGAATAGCGCAAAAGTTATTAGGGCAAACGGTGGTAAAAAAATGTTCGGAGGTTGCGACAGCAACAATATCCCCATTTTTTTCAATAAATTCCATTTTTCGCTGTTTTGTCACGATTTTTTCATATTGTGTGCGAATATGAATTTTTTTGCAGAATCTCTGATGGCTTTTTCACGTATTTTTTTAGATTTTGAAGATAATCTTCAAATGGATATGAAGAAAAATTTATAAGTGGCCCAAACTTTTTCACACAGCCACTTATATGCAAAAGACCATGAATATTGTGAGATATGCTATTTTCCCCAAAAACTACAGGGATATTTTCTACAAATTGTTCTAAAAATATTTGAGCATTTTCAACATTTCTATCACACGTTCTCGGACARRATAACAAACGGCAAGCACAGTGAAGCAAAAGGAATTCATAATAAAAATCAACATGAACTTTGTCCTTTAAAGCCAACATGCCTGTGTATAACAGAAATTGACGAAACTCAGTGGCTTTCCAGTTGAAAAGTTTTTCCAATCCTCTCGGAAAGCGACAGAATTCCCAAGGTGGGTGGAAATTTCTGCTTTTACTTCCTTGTTGATTTTGAAATTAGTTTTGTGTGTATTAATTCGAACGAGTATTTTCTTCATCACTCCGAGATCTATAAGATGCATTGGATCAAGGGGTACTTGAGTTATCATTTTTAGACTAAGCTCTTCAAATGGAGATTGCTTCGAATGAAACTCTTTCTGATGATGCTTTAAGTGTTTTCTTGATGAAAAATCGGCATCAGAAATGAGTTCGTGCAAGATTGTGGAATACGTGAGCACATTCCCTGTTTTCTTGCTGATTTGGATACATTTTGTACAACCATGAGAAGAAGTGTGACCAGGGATACCGCAAGCAAATGCTTTTGCAGGGGCGTCACAAATAAATGCTCGAATTTCAAATGCAATTATCTTGTTTTCAAACAATATTCCGTTATCAAGTAAATCTTTTAACTCTGTGACCAAGTCACCTAAGATACTAGCAATGTTACCGGGTTTACTGTTTCCAACGTAAAAACCAATTGGGAAAATAGAAATGTTGGGAAAGTTAAAAATTTTAGCCAAAATCGGCCAAAGTTGCATTCGAGAACTTTTAAATAATGGTAATCCATCAATATTCAAATCAATCACTATTTTATGGCAATCGTTTAATATGCTTGGAATTTTAAACAGATGTTTTCTTAAAC